TCGCTGTACCCGATTTACTGAAATACATTAAGGATTTTAGGGTTGCCCAGCGTTTCTTTCTTTTATATATAAGATTGGCAAATACCCCCTTACAAAAAAACCCACCAATGCCCTCTGTGTAACCAAAGTCAATGCCTCGAGACCCCTTAAGGCAAATCGTGTCTCTCACTCGCGGGCTCTGCGAATTTTTATGTTATTTCTAGGGTGAAATGTCATAGATACCCCTGTATAAATAAAAAAAAAATCAGAGTGGTTAAATTATAAATAACTATAATTTATAGGACCAAATTGTAAATTTTAAAATTTCCAAAATTGCAATAAGGAACAAAAATTGAATTTTTTTTTCAGATCTTCTTCCTCGTTCCATTCCGCCGCCCACCTCCCAACCTGGAAAAAGTTCGGCATCGCCGCCGTCTTCTGGCCCGTCTAGCACCATCGCCGCTCTTTGGCCTGTCTCGCACCACCGCCATCCACCTACTCCTTCAAATTTCTCTCCCTTGTCACCGCCGCCTTCTGGCCCGTCTCGCACCACCGCTACCCACCTACTCCTTCAAATTTCTCTCCCTAGTCACCGCCGCCGTTTGGCACCACCCATTTCTTAGCGAGAGAGAGTTGTGTATAGGTAAGATTTTTCTTCTCCTGCACATAATCGCCGTCGTCGCCGCCTTTGTTCAAATTGCAGATATGGGCTGCCATAGGAAGAGTGGAATTGGAGGAGAAATTGTACTACGCGAAGTTGGGGTGCAAGAAAGGTGAGCCGGTGGTGGGGAAGGTGCGTGGGGGAGAAGAAGTGTTGATTTGGGTGGTTGGTAGGGTGGGGTGGGGTGGAGCGGGGAAGAAGAAGACTTATTTTTGTTTTTTTTCTTCTTCTTTTTTTAAGGGTTAAATACAAAAACACCCCTGTACTATGAATTTTGTATCGTATACCCCCTGTACTACACATAAATACAAAAATCTCCCTCACATTATATTTTTTTCAAAATATGACGAAAATACCCCTCAAGTATATATATGTATATAAGGGTTTGTTTGAGCCATTTTCAGTCAATTTTACGTGGGGAATTTTGGTATTTATATTTTTTTCTCAAAAACATCTAATTGCTTAGATTTTTTTAATTTTCTGATAAAAATCTTTTATTTTTGTCATTTTGAGTTTCTTCATTTTTTTTTCTTAAATTTCTTCCGGTAGTTCAAACATCATAAGATTACAAACATCTTTACAATCCTATGATTGTTGAGAATTTGAACTACCGGAAGACAGTTAAGAAATAAATGAAGAAATTCAAAATGACAAAATTAAAAGGTTTTATTGAGAAAAAAAAAATAAAAATAAAAAAAAAAACAAAAAACAAAAAACACTAAGTAATTTAATGTTTTGGAGAAAAAATATAAATATCAAAATTTGCCAAGTAAAAGTGACCGAAAATGTTAAAAATATAGTGGAAAATGGCTCAAACAAACTCTTTTGTTTACAGGCTAAGTAGGGGTATTTTCGTCATATTTTGAAAAAAATGTAATGTGAAGGGGGTTTTTGTATTTAACCCTTTTTTTAATGTAAATTAAAATGTAATATAAAAAAAATATAAAACATATAAAATCTTTTAATACAACAATATATGTTTAACTTCTGTTTATCTTTTGTAATTACAAAATTATTAATAAATAAGTTTATAAAATTAAAAGTAACTACACAAAAAAAATTAAAAATAATTGTGTAATAAAATTTGGTTTAATTAAATTAATTATAGAGTTGAGAAGTTTTAAAAAATAAATCTTTACAATACATATTTTACTAATTGCTGAAAAATCCAGAGGGCATTTTTGTCATTTCACTTTTAGTCAATGCCTAAAAAGACAGTTTTGATTACACGAGGGGGCGTTGGTAAGTGTTTTTTGACATGGAGTATTTGCCAATTAGAGATTACATAGGAAAGGTATTGGCAATTAGCTCCAATATAATTTGACGGAAATTACTCGACTATTTCCTTAATCATGACCTGTTATGTGATAGTTGTCCTCGGATGGTGATTGGTGCGGTGTTGCCCTTTTGAAGAAGCAACACCACACTAGGGGTGGCAAACGAGCCGAGCCGGCTCCCGAACATGACGAGCCGGCTCGAAAAAAGCTCGAACTCGAGCTCGGGTTTTTCGAGCTCGAGCCCAAAATTAGTTGTTCGGCAGCTCGCGAGCCGGCTCGCGAGCTGCCTTCTTCTTTTTTTTTTTTTAATATATATATATATATATATATATATATATATATATATATATATTATTCTTATTCTTATTCTAATTATTATTATTATTATTATTAACTAAATAGTAAATAGGCTATAATAATAAATATATGTAGTATTTACATAGAAACAAATCTATATTACTTACATAATTCATAATAATATAAAATATTATAATAATAATAATAATAATAATAATAATAATAATAATAATAATAATAATAATAATAATAATAATAGAAAAAATAAAAAATATATATAACTAGAGTTCATTATTTATTTTATAATTTTTTTTATTTTCCTATGAATAATTTTTTATAAAAAATAAAATGATTTTAATAAAAATAAAAAAAAAAAAAATAAAAAAAAAAAAATAAAAAAAAAAAAAATTATATAAGCTCGAGCTCGAGCTCGCCAAAATTGGCTCGTTCCCACCCCTACACCACACAAGCGTAAATTTCACGGTAGACTCCTTGTTTAATTATTGTGAAGAAGACTCAGTCCTACCACACACACACATCAATCTTCGCCCATCAATATTAATTCTTTTACAAAATGTGATATTAATTTTCCTCTGCAAGTAGTTGGTGGACTTGAATTTTCCTCCATACAAGTTGAGTTGACTGCATTTCCTAGTTGTGTTGAATTCACTATTTGCTCAATTATTTTTAACTAAAAAACAAACTCCTCCATTCACACATTACTATAGTCTTCTATCTCTCATCTCTTCCATCTAATTAATCATATCCCCAAACTTATAAGCTATAGTTCTTCAAATTAATCACCAAATATTCATATATTTCTTCATCAGCCAAATATACATACATACATGTATATCCTCAGCCGAAGCCTCCTCCTCAAATTCATTTATTTCTTCATCACCACCCAATTATATTTCACCCAAAAATCCCATGGAAACCAAATTAAGTACTGCACCCCTTCTTCATGTGGCGGAGTTCGCAATATTAGCTATCCTTTCAGGCTCAATACCGATCCAAAACGTTGCGGTCATCCCAAATACGTACTTTCATGCGAAAACAATACCACCTCAATATATATCAATTCTCTAAAATACCTCGTCCACGAAATCAACTATACCAAAGAGACCATCCGTCTTGCTATTCCTAATGTCACAATAATTGAGAGTTGCTCATTCCCCAAATACCGTTTATTACATGACACGTTTTATTCCGATGTGCAAAAAAGTGTTCCAATTAGTTTGATGAGCTGCCCATATCCACTCAATGGTTCGAAGCTTTTGGAAATTACTTCTCATTGTGCAGACAGAAAATTATATGGTGTGAATGGAAGTCGCGCATATATAATATTTGGCACAGATTTACACCAAGTAAAGGATATGTGCAAAATAGACCTCGTGGTGATGACTTCACTGCCACTTAAAATAGAAGAGAATGTTTCCTTTTCAACTATGCACAAAGCTCTGCTATATGGTTTTGAGGTTTCGTGGTTTTTGACTTCGGACGTTAAATGTATACACAGTCCATGGCCCCCATCACTTGCGGATAAATACTATTTTTGCGGTAAGACTCAATCAATTACGTTTATGTAATATTGTTCATCATTTTTTCCCATCACTTGAACATTTTAACATTTTACACTATTAAGATTCAATCAATACATTTATGTCATTCTAATGCTCTTATTCATGCAGGTGACTTCCCAGCTTGGTTGGCCGAGGCTCTTCAATGTTAGTAATTCTTTAACTCTCTTTTGTTGTTCAAATAATTCTTCATTTATCATCTAATTATTCAATTCTAAGCTAAACTAACTCTCTAATATATGCCTGAATTATAAAAAAAAATTCTCTTCAATTTACAAAATTTTACTCACAATTATAAATCCCAACGGAAAAAAAACATAAAAAGGATAAAATACTGTTTACACCCCTATACTATGAAAAATGTCGCATTCACCCTTGTAGTATTAAAAACTACAAAAAAAAACATGTCGTTAGTTATTTTGCCAGTCAAAGCTGATGTGGCACGTTGACCACATATATTTCAATATTCTGGACATTTGTATCCCTTGACTACAATGCGTGTGTGTGTGTATATATATATATATATATATATATATATATATATATATATATATATATATATATATACTATTTTATACTATTAACAAAAAAATTATAAAATTATATAAACAATTATAAAATGTAAACTTCAAGTTTCAGTTCAATTATGATTCATAAATTATAATTTTAAATTGCAAATTATAAATTTATTACAAAAATAATAGGAATTACTAACAATGAAATATGCTCTAATAATTTATAAAATGACAAAAAATATATAAAAAAAATACTTTATTATAGAAATTCAATAAATATTATAAAATAAAATAAAAATATGTACAAGAATCCTCCAAGCCCCATCCCACCATCGAAATTTAGAAAACAATTCTCTTCCCACCGTTCTTCAAACTGTACAAAAATTCAGCAACATTTCTCTTTATCATCTTCTAAAAATAATCCAAATCCCATCCCACCATCAACAACTGTCCAAATCCCGTCACACCACCAAATGACAACAACTCATTCTAACCTAAACCCCAATGGTGGTGGTGGTGGCGGCGATGGTGTATCCTTTCGATGGGAGGGGATCGATGGTGGTGGGGAAATCATCGTCTCCACTTTTTGATTTTGGTGGTGGGTGGCTGAGAATTTTCGAGAAAGTAAAAGAAACAAAGAGAGGAAATAAGAGTAGTTGCACTGCAAAATTTAAAACCGTTAAATTTATGTTGACTGGCTGTCAAAAATAGAGGGGTCTTTGTAGTTTTTAATACTACGGGAGTGAATGCGACCTTTTTCACAGTACAGGGTGGAAACTGTATTATACCCTAAAAAATCTATTGCAATTTCAAGATTCTTCTTATCAATAGAAGAGAATAATGCTCTTGAATGATTTGCTTGTCACTATAAGAGAATATTACACTTGATGCTTTTGTGTCTATTATTGAAAAGTACTAGGCATATTATAGGGCAAAAAGAAGTTCTTCAAAAGTTAATGCCAAACTTGGTGGACCATCTTGATTTTTGGGCTTATTTGGATTCAGTCATTTGGTAATGAACTTTAAATTCGTATCTCTCATTTTTCAATTGTTTTAACAATTAAGGTGGATTTTGAAAACCCTTCTCATTTACAGTCGCTTCTAATCCTCCCCACTTGAACCCATTTACAATCCATTCCTTTCAAATAACACCAGCCCAAAGGTTACCGCAAGTTTCAATTGGTCATCGTATAATTGGTGTTGAAATAGTGAACTCAATTTTTTTAAACATGCGTTAGTTTATCCTAATAAAAAGTAAAAAATAACGTAATCATTTTATCGGTGACCAAAATGGACTTTCGATATCATTTTTACGATTTTAACAATATTTGAAGGATTTTTTCTTTAATCTTTAATTTATTTATTAGTTCTTTTAATAAGAAAATTAGTCAAATAGCGGTGAAAGAAAATAAAGAACTGTAATATGAATATGAATATGATATATAAACCATTTCCTTCGATCGGTTACACCCCTTATCAAACTATTATAATACTCGTACCGTATCTGCTACTTTCCTAATCATATACATGTGTACGTGCAGGGATCGTGGACATTCTTCGGCGTAGCATAGGTGAGTATCAAATTGTTGAATATCTTTTAAAAAAAAAATTGTTCTTATCCATTAACATATCTTTACCTGTAGATAGCACTTTACCGCCTGAATTTTAGCTTGTTTTGCGTTTAGCCACTTTTATAAATATGGATTTTTTGATGTAGACCCCTCATAAATTGTTTTAATATAAAGAGGTCTATTTATATTTTTTCCATTTAAACTCACTATATTTTTTAATCTCAAAATTACCGTTCAACTATCTTCTTTCCACTACACATCATCTTCATTTTTTTTTCTCTTAAATTGATTTTCATTTTTCTTGTTTGTTTAAACTTTTTTTTCCTGTCAGGTTTATATAATAGAAATCGACTACTAAGATCGTAGTTGATTAATAAAATTGACTGCTAAAATAGTGATCGATTATGCAATCAACTTTGAAAGTAACAAAAACAACTGTAATGTCGTCACTGGCACTCAACACAATTCACATAACTAAACAATAACAAACCGCAAAAACCACAAAAAAAAATCAATTAATGGCCATAAGTCCACCACCAACAACCGCAAATGCAATAATAACAACAATTATTGGCAAAAGTCCACCACCTACAATTCAAAAATATATTATTTAACTACGAAAATATATTAATTAACTAATACCTTAGAGTAATCAACTACTAAATTAAGTCGAAACAAAAATTATAGAAACATCAAAATCATATCGAAACATTATACATCTCTAATAGATTAGGTAATAGAAAAATAAACGAAAAATCTCCAGGTTAGAGAATAGATTGATAGTGGCCGAACAAAGAAGCACCACCGCAATACCCCCAAGTCCAATTATATGTGGCAAAACAAAGAACCAATAAACATATTAAAAAATAAATTTAAAATTGTAGTCGATTACCGTAATCAAATAATAAAATTTTTTTATGGATCCAACCGAATTTCAACAAAATGTACTATGCACCAAACATCGGCCGTGCTTTCCTCCTCAAAACCAACTAACCACCCCTCCCCGTCGCTCCGCTCCCGCTTACGCTCGAAGCCCCGTCGCCAACCTTCGCCGGCTTTCTCTTAAAATGGAGATTAGAAATGACAAAGTACTATTTTGTATCATATTATAATATAAGACTATGCCCGAGATTCTCTTAAAATCACAAAATACTATTTTATTAACTTAATGATCAAAATTATATTACATAAATAAAAATATTTGGAGTCATATAGAATATAAAACTATGCCCAAATGAAGATTCTTATAATCAGACAAAATATTATTTTGTTAAATAAACTTTAAATCATGTAACTAAAAGCAAGCTTTTAATTTACTGTCCCAAGTAGTATTATGAAAAATTTATTGTGAGGAGGTCATTATGAACTTATTTCACAGTATTTTTTTTTCAATGCTTGTAAGGATTCTCTAATTTGAAGTGAGTGACCCTAATAACTTGAAAGTTTTCGGTTTCCAGCTTTGATACTTGTGTCCAGCCTAGCATTGAGGATCGTAATTGGAATGCCTTGCATGCTTGGGTCTTTTTGATTTATAAATTTCGAGAAGGCATTTTGTCAATGTTCGACGTAATTGAAGGCTTCCTGCAAAGTAACACAAATCTCAAAACAATCCGCTATACATACTCAGATATGAGGAAATCTCCAAGGCTTTCGAGAAAAATAGGCCAAGGAGGATACGGTTCTGTTTACAAAGGAAAACTTCGAAGCGGCCATCATGTAGCGGTCAAAGTACTTGCCAAGCCTAGCTCAAATGGGCAAGATTTCATCAATGAAGTAGCCACAATTGGAAGGATCCATCATGTTAATGTGGTTAAACTTGTCGGGTATTGTGCAGAAAGATCCAAACGCGCCCTAGTCTATGACTTCATGCCTAATGGTTCGCTCGAGAAGTACATATTTAATAAGGAAAAAGGTAATTCACTTACTCTGAAGAGGAAGTACGAGATTGCAATTGGAGTGGCTCGTGGAATTGAGTATTTGCACAGAGGATGCGACATACAAATCCTGCATTTCGACATAAAGCCTCACAACATACTTCTTGATGAAAATTTCACACCTAAAATATCTGATTTTGGTCTGGCAAAGTTTTATTCAACAGATAATACTACAGTGACTCTCACTGCGGTTAGGGGAACAATAGGCTATGTGGCTCCCGAGCTAATGAATAGAAGCATTGGCGGAGTGTCTTACAAGGCCGATGTTTATAGCTTTGGGATGTTGTTGATGGAAATGTTGGGGCTTAACAAAGGGACGGGGCCTAATATTGAAAACAAATCGAGCCAATATTTTCCGTGTTGGATTTATGACCACTTGAATAAAGGCGAAGACATTGAAATTGGAAATGTGTATGAAAATAATGATGATGAGGAAAAGGAAGACGATGATGATGGGAAAAAAATGAGGAGAAAGATGACGATAGTTGGATTGTGGTGCATACAGATGAGTCCAACCGATCGCCCGTCAATGAGCGATGTTTTGAAAATGTTAGAAGGTGAAGATGAAAATATGATGATTCCTCCTCAACCTTCACAGTCATCTGAGATTCCATGCTATGATGACCAGACTTGGGGAACTGAATCCGAATCAACCGGTCTGTAGCCTTGCTGCGTAATGATTCTTTAAGTTTTCAATAAGAATTATAAATAAAGATATGACATTAGTATGATTGTGGTATTTACTAATATATTATCTTTGTTTTAATCATTTATTTTTGTATAGCAGGGAATTATATTTCTTCCCATGTTCTTTTTCTTTTAATTTGATTATATATATATATATATATATATATATATATATATATATATATATATATATATATATATATATATATATATATATATATATATATATATATATATATATATATATATATGAGTAAACTGCAAAAAATACCCATGTGTTATCTTAAACTAGCAAAAACCCCCCATTAAAATTTTTAAGTAGCACACTCAGCCCACAATCCATTTGAGTGTTGACCAGCTGTGAAAATACGTTAATACCCTTGAGGATTTTTGCACTAATAACATTATTCTATATTTTTTAGCTATTAAAAAAATAGAAATGAGACTTAACAGTTGCTAATTAATTTCTGAATTTTTCTTTTAGTTTTTTTACTATCATATAATTTCTGAATATTTC